GGGGGGGACTGTGAAGGTTGGGTCTGGGTTGGCATGTTTGTTGGGGAAGGGTCTTGGAAGTTTTAGGAGAAAAACTTTGGGGAGGCATCTGGCCAGGCATGCGTAGAGAGGGGGATTAACAGGGCATGACTGAGAGGGGAGTGAGTATTGCTCCAAATACCTTGTGAGATCATATCCTGAGCAGTAGCAGGTGTCTGTACCCACAGTGAGGTTTATCTCTATTTCATACTTTTGTCTAGCTTGGCCTGTCAGTTAATGGTGAGATTACTTATATGAGAGGAAGGTGTCAGGCTGCACTGGGATAATTTACTCCTGGGGGAATTTTGCGCCACCGCGTGTGCGCAGAATTCATGTCCCCCGCAGATTGCAGAATTTTTATTTTTCTGGCACAGAATGCCCTCAGGAGTAATAACTACTCAGACCATTTGATGTGTTCTTTTTTTGCAGTATTGGATTCTTCATGGCCAACAACTGGTTTTGAATAAGATTTCAGCTAATATGGTTCAAGCGATTAAGTGGAAACGGTTAGTGACTTTTTGTTTGTGAGTTTATCAGCCTCTCTCACCCACTCCCAAAGTTATGATTCCTGGTTCATTTTAATTTATAGATTTCAGTTGGAGACGTAAAGTCTTGGAAGAGGCCGACAGAGCTTCACTTGTGTTGAAAATGCTGGGAGACAGAGTGCAGTCAGCTACAAAAGAAAATCTTTACAAAGACCCCACATTTCCAGCAAGCGACACCTCCCTATTTTTTAACTATTCCACCCCACTATCACAATTCAAAGGGGAGATTTCCTGGCTGAGACCTCAGGTGAGTTTTGAGACGTGTTAGCTTAATGGTTTAACAAAATTTGACTTTCCATTAACCAGTGTTCAGTTACTGTTTCTAGTTCTTTGTATGGTTCTGAAATACAAAAATGACAAAAGTAGTGTGTTATGGTTGCTGGGCTAACTGTATCTCTGGCCACTTTGAGAGCCCTGGACTAAAGTACTCTGTGTATCAAATGTGTTTACCCAGCAAATCTGACTAAGTTTGGCACCTGTGATTCTTCCCTTTAGGCCTCTGTCACTAGTGGTGAATATGATAACTTAATGGCCTTCTTAAAAAACAAAGTATTGTTTATTTTCCCTTTTTTCTTCCTCTACACTTTATCCCTGGATAATCTCATTTGCAAACACAAATTCAACTACCATCTCTATGCTGAAGACTCACAGGAATACCTCTCTACTCCAGATCAGTCTCCTTCTGTCCAGACTAAGATCTCGGCCTATCTCTCTGAAGTCTCCTTGTGGATGTCTAGCCATCAGTTCAAACTCAACATGGCTAAAACAGAGCTCTTAGTCTCCCCCCCCCCCCCCCCAAGTCCTCTTCTCTCCCCCCCCAAGCTTTCTCAGTCAGTGTGGACATCATCACCATCCTTCCTGTCACTCAGGACCATAACTTGGGTGTCATCTTCAGGTCAGGCCTCTCTGTAGGCCTTCACGTCAAGACTATGTCTAAATCTTGCCCATTCTTTCTGTACAACATCTCAAACATACTGTCTTTCCTGTCCATCCACCCAGATGAACTCTTATGCAGGCTTTCATCATCTCACATCTTGATTAGAGCAATATCCTTTTCTCTGGCCTTGACAAATGCTATCTTGCCCCTCCCATATCCATTCAGAACACTGCTGCAAAGATTCTTCTTCTAGTTCATCACTTTGACGATGTCACCCTTCTCTTTGAATCCCTCCACTAGCTCCCCCTTCTCTGTCTCATCAAACATAAGCTACTTGTCTTCGGTTTTGAAGGCCTTTATGCCCTATCACCCCCCCCCCCCACACACACACACCCAATCATCTCTCATTCGGTATTGAAATGTCGATGCCAATCTCCATAGCCCATTTGTTAAATTTTCAAACTATCACCTTTGTGCCTTCTCCTGGGCTTGCCCGTCATGCTTGGGAGGAGCGCACAATAAATACTGCAAAGCTATCCGAGGGAAACGGTGGGGGCGAAAGACCTCTCTGGCTTCAAGATTAGGCTAGATAAGTTTATGGAGGGAATGGTTTAATGGGATAACGTGATTTTAGTCAATTAGGTAATAAAGTGCCATTGCTGGTAAAATGTGTCTGGCTAGAGAATCTTGCCTGTATGCTCGGGGTTCTACTGATCGCCATATTTGGGGTCGGGAAGGAATTTTCCTCCAGGGTAGATTGGCAGAGGCCCTGGAGGTTTTTCGCCTTCCTCCGCAGCATTGGGCAGGGGTCGCAAGCTGGAGGATTCTCTGCGACTTGAAGTCTTTAAATCACGATCTGGAGACTTCAACAGCTGAGTTAAGGGAAAGTGGGTGGGTCAGCTTTTGTGGCCTGCATCATGCGGGAGGTCAGACTAGATGACCATAATGGTCCCTTCTGACCTTTAAGTCTATGAGTCTATGAGTAATTACTTTCCTTTGCCGACAAAAACCTGACAAGCTGCTGGTGTGCTGGGACTACCGCCTGTTGTGTCTCATTGTTTCCTTGTACTCCCTTGTCTTCTGTATCCATCTGTTGTTTCTTGTTGTATATTTAGATTGTAAGCTCTTTGCAGCAGGGACCATTTTTTTGATCTTTGCTTGTACAGCATCTAGCACAATGGGGTCCTGGTCCATGACTGGGGCTCCTAGACCATATGGTAAAACAAATAATAACTAATAAGCATATTTCCCAGTGTGGGGCTCAGCTAGCCAAACAGAAAAGTTGCAAACCAGCAGCTCAGGAGGGCTAATTCATTCAATTTCCTGCTCTCTGTAATGTTTACAAGAAAAGTGAAGCGAGATCCATTTCTTAATTTCAACATTGCTGGAAGATTCTCTGCATCTTGAAGTCTTTAAACCATGATTTGAGGACTTCAATGGCTTAGACACAGGTTTGATACAGGAGTGGGTGGGTGGGTGAGATTCTGTGGCCTGCGTTGTGCAGGAGGTCAGACTAGATGATCATAATGATCCCTTCTGACCTTAAAGTCTATGATTCTATGATCATATCAGACTAATTGGTTGTTTTGCAGTTTAGATCAATAGCTTGCTTAGCAATGGCAAACTGTGTTTTGCTTGGCCAGATAAGGGTTTTGGGTTTTTTTGTACTGGGATGCTGAATTCTTTCATAGCTTGCATCCTATGCTGCCCTGATAATGTACCTCAACCTTGCTTGTGAGTTGTGACCTGCACAACTACTAGGGAATGGGTTATTTCTCTCTTTGTTCATTCACTTCTTGTCTCTTTGCTGAGATTATCAATAGATTTCATCATCAATAATACATTACTATCTACCAAGATCTGGACTGAGACCCACCAGAGTTATTTCACATAGGTCACCTACTGAATAGTAGTCATACTGTAACAACTCTTGTTGTCAGTAGCTACCGGTGTGGTGCTCTGCTCTTGTTCGATGATAACAGTCGGCTGCGTGCGTGTTCCCTCTGTGTGCTGCCCTAGTTCTGCGCAGATCGCTGACGCAGCAGACCCCGAGAAAACCCCCAAAGACCACAGATTCTGATAAGGTACGAAGGAACCCGAGCCAGGTTTATTGTCAAACGAAGCACAGTAATAGTTTCCTATAGACTCTACAGGACATACTACGAATATGTGCCCCCTGGCAATGGACACAGCTCAGTCAGTGGCGGGACTTTCCACTGCCCCCTAGGCTGGCCAAAGATGCGCACTCCGGGACCTACTTTTATACAGTTACAGGACAGATTACTCATCCCTACTGACGTATTGAGGTACAGCCCCATGACTCATTGGGGGCTGTCTCCTCCTTTGATCATGTTGTTTCTATCCATCACGCTGTCCTTTTGACCCTGTCTTTAAGATGCACCTGCTTCTAGCAGCCCTCTTCTTGCCACCTTCTGTGAGTGGGGCCTACCTCTGGCTCACAGCCCAGCTTTTGCTTAGCAATGCCTGGAAGTACTTTGGTTCAGGCTTCAGACTGGACCTTTGACACAAGAGGTTATGTTTCAGGGCCTCATCTTACTACAACTCTCAGTTAGTGGTAACCTGTGCTGTATTCAAACAGGAATGAAAGGTGGAAGGCCCCTTATTGTGTTAATCGTCTCATGAGCCATCCGATTCCACAAAACATAGACTTGTTTGGCTTAGACTGTCTTGCAGGATTTAACCTTAATGTTTGCTTTATTTTAGGAAATTTGTTCTGCTCCTCGATTGTTTTCAGACAATCCACAGGAGGTGCAAGTGAAGCAAGGGATTTTGGGAGATTGTTGGTTCCTGTGTGCCTGTGTTGCTTTGCAGAAGAGTAAATACCTGCTAACTAAGGTATAGAACAGCTTCTTGTAATGTTTCATGTCCTAGCACAGGGGTTCTCAAACTGGGGGTTGGGACCCCTCAGGGGGTCGCGAGGTTATTACATGGGGGGTCGCGAGCTGTCAGCCTCCACTCCAAACCCCGCTTTGCCTCCAGCATTTATAATGGTGTTAAATATATAAAAATTATGTTTTTAATTTATAAGGGGGGATCACACTCAGAGGCTTGCTATGTGAAAGGGGTCACCAGTACAAACGTTTGAGAACCACTGTCCTAGCGGATTCTCCTGTATGCTCCATTAACATTTTTATTTTTCCCTAGCCTTTTCCAACTCAATGAAACTTCTATGATGTACTCTGATGCTCTGTCTCTACTCTTTGATGTTATGACATTATTTCTATTTATGCTATGATGTAGAACAGCTGCAATTGACCATGTTTTAAGTGGTGGTTTCCTCAAAAGAAAGTCCCTGTTTGTCTTGATTTTGTTAATATTGCTTTGTCTTCTTCCAGGTAATTCCTCCAGGTCAGCCCAGCTGGACAGATGAGACATACACAGGCTGTTTCACTTGTCAAGTCTGGCAATTTGGACATTGGGTGGAGGTAACCATTGATGATCGCCTGCCTTGCCTTGGGTGTAAACTCTGCTTCTCCCAGTGTCAGACAGAAGATGTGTTTTGGCTTCCCTTACTGGAAAAGGTCTATGCCAAGTATGTGAACTTCATTGGAGGAGGAGATTTAAATTGCAGTAATGACTAGCACATATTCTACATAGTGCTTTGTTTGATTGGATTGCATTCCTGCCATGTGGGCTTCCAGAGCCCTCTCTAGGACTTGAACTCTTTATATTTCACTGTATATAGACTGATAATTGCCAGAGTTTATCCTGGATCACCCAGATACAGTTCCACCCTCACACAGGGTGAGATTTTCTTACTGAAAGGAATTGTGAAAAAATAAGAGTTTTTTTTTTTATAATGACCCAGCAGCTGATAGACTGCAGTGATGCTCAGCTAGCTACTAGCTGCAGATCACCTAGCTTAGTAAGACCGAAATAAAGTTTTCCCTATTGCATTATTTGAGAAGATTTAAGGTAGACATCAAGGGTCAGATCTTCAGCTATTGAAAATATATGTTGCTCCACTGAAATAATGAAGCTACGCCAATTTATGTTAGCTGAGGCTCAGGCTTTGAATATTTCTCTCTTGCATACTGCTGCCTAACCATCCCTTGTCACTCATTTGCTGGTTTTGTCAGGAGTTATGGACCCTGGAATGTTGTTGTTGTTTTGTTTTGTGTTTGATAGTGGGGCCATTGTTTTATAAAACAAGCAGCAAAATACGATCTCAGCCCACAATACAGTGTAGACTGACAAAGCAGTTCAGAGATCAAATGCTTTGGATAAGGTGGACACCAAACTGTTACAAGATCTTAGAGAAGGGTTTGTTTAGCCCCCATCAGAGGACAAACACCTTTTAAGGTGAAGTTTCCCAGCTAGCTGTAGATATGCTGAAGTTAAGGTACATGTTTCTGTCAAGGCACCTTTGGCACATTAACCTTTTCTTCTTACTGTTGGTTTGCCCGGTAAATATTGTTTTGACCATTTCTTACAGAAATTTTATGAATCTGGTTTAGTACTCTTTCAGTGTGTTCATTCACTCTGCTTTGTAGTTACCGCAAATAATAACCCAACCTCCCTGATCCCACAAAATAAAACAGGTGGGAGAAAAAACTAGTTTGACTGTGTTTAGCAAACAAAGAATATATTAAGGGGAGGTATGTTAGAAACGTTATTTTTTAAACATTACGAACTATATTGTACATCATGAATGGTGATGAAAATTCTAATATGATGAGGTGCGAATGACAAGCAGTGAGCAGTTTCTGTACAGGAAAGGATTGTATCAAGCTTTCCCTAAGGCAGTTGGATGTCTTCTTTTTCTTTCCCTTTTCCCATCAGGTAGCCTATCGGTCTTCCCAGGTTTGCTGGTCCAACGCTCACTCCATATCGACTCCATCCTCCCGTAACAGTCTATTGACCGTTTTCTTGGCCATCCTCTTGTTCGCAGCCTGTGAACTTTAGTCCCAAATGTCTCCTTAAAAAGATTTCCTTCTCCATCCTTCAAACATGCCCATACCATCTCCGCTTCCTGTCTTGCAGCTTCTGTCTGATACCGCAGACCTTGGTTTCACTCCTGATGTCATCATTCCACATGTGTTCCAGCAATGTCACCTCTTTCACTGCCCTCAAACATCTCATTTCAATGACTTCAGGTCTTCAAGTGCTTCTCGTCGGTCACCCATTTCTCTGATCTGTAGAGAAGAGCTGGTCTTACCAGAGTTTTGTATAGTTGTCTCTTAAATAGTCTGGGCATATGCTTATCATAAATCACACCACCTATCTTTGCAAGTTTTGTCTCACGCCCAGTTCTCTGTTGACTTCTCTGTTTGCTGCTAGCCAGCCACCAAAGTACTTGAATGCAGAAACCTGATTTAGTTGCTGGCCCTCAATGTTAATATTAATCTATTTTGGTCCCATGTGAATCACCCACATTACTTCAGTCTTTTCTTTAGTCCTTTTGAGGCCATAATTTGTTAGTTTCCTGTTCCTGGACCAAATCTTCTGCACTATCGGCCATTAGTGCAATATGGTCTCCATACATCAACTTTGGACCACCTTCCATTTGGATTTTCTTACTTATGAAGTCCATCACAGTCATGAATAGTAATAGATTAAGCACTGAACCCTGGTGGAGCCCAACCTTCACCTCAAAACACTCTGTTACACTGGTGTGTGTGTCCACTTGTCATGAAACTGTCATATAAACCCATCACCATCTGGACAAGGTCCTCTGGTACCTCATAGAATCATAGCAGAGGCACCAGCAGTCACCTAGATACTTTGTTGAATACGTGAGGTGTCTGATGGCCTAAATATTCTATAGCTGCAGTGGCACCTTTTATGTCATACTAACGTCAGGCTCCCCGTGGGGACATATGTGTGATTAAAATAAAGACAAAATGTTCATTTTAGGAGTAAAGTTTGAAATATGTGCCACTGTTTTTTGTTTTGTTTTTTGTTTTGTAGGGTGCATGGGTCTTATGAGCAGTTATGGGCAGGGCAAGTGGCAGATGCTTTAGTTGACTTGACTGGAGGTCTAGCTGAGAGATGGACCCTAAAAGACCCTGGAAGAAGCATGGAAAGAGAGAGGACTGGTAGAGTTTTGGAGAAGATGGTATTTAGGAGACTGATGAACCTGAAGGAACGATGTGTGATAAGTTGCTCAGTCCTCAGCTCCAGGCAAGGTAATATGAGCATTCCAGAGATTCTTAAACATAGCAACTGTCTCTGTCTCTTCCCATAAAAGGAAAAAAGTAAGGGAAAGTAGTGCTTCAGCACCACTGGTCTATGGATACTCAAAGCTAACTAGCATGTTTCTAGGGATTCTGGTGATCAGCATTTCTCTTCACTCTTCTGATCATAGATACATAAACCAGGCAGTTATTTGTCTCTGTGTACAGTGTGGGTTGCATGTTCATCTGTTGTGTTCACAGGCAGAGCAGTGGACTTGTAGCAACTTTCTTCAGTAGAAAGTGAATCTTTTTCACAGTGGATGGAGAGCTTACTTCCTCTTGCCTTGAAAAAGAATGCTGGGTAGTTTTCTACCTCCTAAAGATAGTTATCTTTCCTGTACAGGTGCCAGTGAACTGGGAGAATTTCATGCCTTTATTGTCTCAGATATGCTTCATCTCTCCAGAGTCTCGGGCAAGGAAATCATCTTGCTACGAATACAAAACCCTTGGGGGAGGCGGTGTTGGAAAGGACACTGGAGGGAAGGGTAAGTGGCTTGTTTTCATTTAGAATACTCTTTTTAAGGTACTACCATAAAGATGAAGATATTTATTGTGTTGAGCACAAAGTGTGTGTGTATATTACAGAGAATAGTATTCATAATAGGCTACAACAGAGAAGAGTTGCAGAGTACGGTAGCCTTATTTCATAGAACCTTTTTTATGAGTTCAACATACATCATCATGGATCTTGTGGGTCTTAATTTTTTGAGGCTTTGGGTCTGGCAATCCAGATGTCCAAATACATGATACATTGATAGGAAATATGTTTTTTGGGGGGGGGGGGCGGGGGAGTTTAAATGGGTTATAGATTGTTGTAATAAGCTATCAATCTGTGATTTTTGGTATCTAGAAAATGTGTGAATTTAAGCTCCCAGGCTCATCTTCTGAAGGGATTGTGCAGGTTTCCTTTGAGGATGAGGACTGAGAGGTCAGATATAGAGTGATCACTTTGTGAAAAGTGTTCACCCACAGGTGATATGGTGCTTGTCTTTTATCATATTTCTGTATGAGTTCTTCTGAGAGCATAGTGGTTGTCTCATTTCACCTTCATCAGTGGTTTTCAACCTTTTTTCATTTGTGGACCCCTACAAATATTTCGAGTGGAGTTGTGGACTCCTTTGGAAATTCAACCTGTGGTCTGTGGACCCCTCCCATAGACGTCTTAGACTGAAAACTGACTGAACAGAATTCAACTATACATGTTGCACATGCTCAGCACAACATTTGACGCGGTATGAGAAAGGGTGCTAGACAGTGGACTTGTATGGTAATGACAACACTTCCAGGTTTTGATCTGGGGATATTTACATACTTTTGATTAATCAGAAAAACAAAATGCCTTTTCTTGATCTGAAATTTTATTTTCATAGTCTACCTTTTGTAGACCCCTTAAACATAGACCGCAGACCACAGGTTGAAAACCACTGACTTAAATAGTTGTTGTCTGTAATTCACTTAATCCCCTCTCCCCCAGATTTTTTTTTTCTTATTTTTGTGTCTGGAAAGGTGTGTTATCAGGCCACTTCACTTGAATGGTCCCTTGAAATATGTATTAACTAGATATGCTCAGTGGTGAGCTGGTTCGCTTGAACCGGTTGTTAAATTTAGAAGCTGGTTTAGAACCGGTTGTTAAAGGGGTGAGCAATTGGGAGAGGGAGGTTTTTCTGTCGTTACACCGGCCCGTGGGTGACATCCGGCCCGCCTGAGCTCCCAGTTGGGGAGGCTCCCCGGCCCCTCCCCTGCCTTTCCCCCTCTCGCAGAGCCTCAGCGTGCCGTGCCGCCGGCGCCAGCGCTCTGGACTGCTCCTGGGCAGCTCCTGCCGCTTTGAGCGGCATGGTAGCGGGTGGGGCTGCGAGCTCCAGTGGGCCGCGCGGCATTCATACACGCTGCCCTGAGCAGCATGGTAAGGGGGCCGGGCCGGGGCTGGGAGGAGGGGTTGGATAAGGGGCAGGGAGGGGGTGGAGGTTCTGGGGTGGTGGTCAGGGGACAGGGAACGGGGGGGGGGGGGGGGAGGGGGGGGAGTCCGGGGGGGCAGTTAGGGTGGGGGGTCTCGGGAGGGGATGGTCAGGGGACAAGGAGCGGGGGGGGTTGATGGGTTGCGGGTTCTGAGGGGGGCAGGACGTGGGTGGGGGTTGGATGGGGACGGACGGACAGGGGGGCTTGTACTCACAGGGCAGTTCCCTACCGGGTTTTCGGCGGAGGATCCTTCACTCGCTCCGGGTCTTCGGTGGTTCTGAAGGGCCCGCCACCGAAGTGCCGCCTAAGACCCGGAGTGAGTCAAGGACGTGCCGCCGAAGAGCCAGTAGGGAACCGGTTCTTAAGACTTTGGCAGCTCATCACTAGTTATGCTAAACAATCTGTTCCACCTTGTATTTAACCGTGATAGTCTGAGTACATTTCCCAGACCTGAAGAAGAGCTCTATGTAAGCTCAAAAGGTTCTCTATCATCAACAGAAGTTGGTCCAGTAGAAGATATTACCTCACCCACCTTGTCTTTAATGTCCTGGGACCAACACAGCTACAACAACACTGCATAGAGAAAAAGTTAGCCTAATTTAAAAATTAGTGTGGTTTTATGTGGTGTCTAGCACATAAAGGAAGACGCACTCCTTGCCTCAAAGAACTTAAAGCTGTAGTACCCTGTTCTGTAAAGTGCAGAACGTTTTTCAGTCTCAGTAAAATTAATTGGAATTGCAATTAGTAGGACCCTAAATAATTAGTTGTGGCTCAGATCTTCAACTTGTAGTAACTTGGAAGCCAACATGCTAAAAAGGTCTTGCCCTACTGCTCTATGGAAATGGTGTGTCGGTGATGCAAGGGGCTTAGTAAGTGGCTCCAGAAAACCCTTCTAAAACAGACATATTTAATTTTATTTGTTGAACCACTTTTTTGTGTTTGGAGTTGTTTTTTTCACTTCTTCTTTCCATCATGCACAAGTTCTAAAACCTGATTTTTTTAAAAAACAACAATAAACAAAAGTACAAGTACTTTTCACATTGTCCAGTGTTCATTGTAAATAAGTTATCTATTTTACCTGGGAGCATGTTCCATAATCCCTTACTCTCTGGTTTAGCTGGTTTCTAGGTCTTCCTTCACAGAGATTGCCTATCTATAATTTCTGTTTCCAGTCCCAATGATTAATAACTAGAGGAAATGTATGGATGAACACAACAGTAAAATGAAAAACTACTTTTTTTTTCCTCACTAAGCAATTTTTGATAGAAGATTTTTGTAGAACTCTATTGGGAGTGTGAGCAAACAGCCTAGACATTGACTTTTGTGAATTTATTTGCAGTGGTCAAGGGTGGAGCCAATTGGATCCAGTAGTTGCTTCAGAATTGCTTTCCCAGATCCAGGAAGGAGAATTCTGGGTTGAGGAAGAGGAGTTTTTCAAGGAGTTTGATGAGATTACCATTGGATTTCCAGTCACTGAAGATGGACAGCTTCAGAGCCTCTATACAGGTACGATGTGGACAAAGGGACTTATTCGTAACAAATCAGATTAGTTTAATGGGGAAGTCTGATTTGAATTAAAAAGGGCCAAAATTAGACTTGTTTAGCACTAGACCTTTGTGGTTTCCAAAACGTTTTCCAAATTTTATTGAGTATGCACTGAGTGCGTACTCTGGGTGAGATTGGAGAACAGAACTGGCCCCGACTTGGTAAGTAAATTAAACTTATTAACTTTTTGCTTTCTCTACATTTCTCTGATTTACTGGAAAAATCCTCTTCCTTATTTGCCAATAATTTTAAGAGTTGCAAGTGAAAATGGTTATGCAAAGCTCAGGGACTCGCATACTTTGAGGCTGTGGAGATTGCTGCAGAGCTGACCTCCCTGCTATAGAATTATGCTCCGAAATCTCAACTTTCATTTAAAAAAATGTTTCTAGCCCTTCTGGTTACAGTGCATACTCCATGCACTATTCCATGCAGCCTAGGCATCAGGAGGTTTGGGAATGATAGCTGGAGTTCAGCTCACAGGCAGCAAAGGGGTAAAACAGAAGTGTAAGCTGTCAAGCTAGGTTGTGTGGAGAACAGTGCAGTAGCTGAAGCCTGGGGAGATAAGTTGCTGATGCCATCTACAAACTCTCACCTTCCCTGGCACACACGGGGAGAATCTGGTTCTGAATTAGGTCATCTGAACAGCACCGGAGGAACAGAAGCCTGGGGAATGGAGCCAGGTTTACGTAATCCTGCCTCAGTGTAGGAGGCTGGACTTGATGACTCCTCAAGTTCTCCTCTGCCCTTCATCTCTATGATTCTGTGCTTACTCCAGGGAAAGACCAGTAGAAGGCATTTTGGCCCCGATTTGGCAAAATATGTAAACCCGTTTGTACGTCAATTCCTATTCCCCAAAGTATTAAATCATGTGCTTAAGTGCTTTGTGGAATACAGATTGTTTGCTGAATTCAGGTCACATTAAGTAGTGTAGTAAGTTCTCCTTCTCCTGCTCCTCCACACCCCCAGAGGTGTAGGTGTTGCAGTTACACCTTCATCCCACCTCAAGATGATCTATGGAGTAGCGAATTGGAATTCCGACCTACGCTTGCTGTAAAGTTCTTAACATCAGCTCATGTTTGCAAATGAGACGATCTCTATCTAGGTTATTTTATTGTCCTCGTTTGCTGCAATATCAGATACAAAATATTTAAAAGCAGAAATACCAGTATTTTACTCTCTTCCTTCCCAACCTGTAGGCCTTTCCTGTGTCTGTTGCTGCTGGGTGGAAAGAAGGAGATTGCACAGGAGTTTTAAAGCCTTTTTTTTCAGGCTGAAGAATTGTTTGCTATGTCTGGCCCCTTGGTGTGGGGGTTAGTCCTTTCCCGTAGAAAATTTTATTGGGGAGCCCTGTAATGATCTCTTCCAACTGGGAGACAAATTTGAGGTTTCAGACTTGTAGAAATAGTTCTGCATATGATCTTTAAGGATAAAGTTCCTCAGCTTCCCACTCTGACTTGCTTGGGATATCTTGGCTGTGAACGTTAGCTCACAGAAAATGGCACTGCCACAGCAATGCTGTCAGTCTGGAGACTCCTGAGCCACAAAAATGAATTGTTTCCAATTGCTGATGTGCGTTACCTGTTTTTCTTTCTTAGAGAAAGTGCTGAGTCATACTCAGAATCTCTGTGGATCCTGGGTGAAAGGCCAGTCTGCAGGTGGTTGCCGTAACAACAATAGCTTCCCTATTAACCCCAAGTTCTGGCTGAGGATATGTGAGCAGAGTGAGGTGTGCATTGCTCTTCTGCAGAAACCCAGGAAGTACTGTGCTGATTGGGTTGGAAGAACTCGGAATCTGACCCGCTTAGCAGAGGAAGGTTCATCTCTGACTGAAGACATTCAAGGGAAGAATTACCAGGCGGTGGGACTGCATATCTGGAAGGTAATTAGGGGTAACTTTTTCAAACTTCTAGTTGGGCCAAGAAGAAAAGTTTCCAGAAAAACAGGAGCATCTGACACAGTCCCTCATTTGCTATAGCAATGCCATGTGTCAATTGTTCATAGAAGTCAGGGGTGTAAAAGACCTATTAGACGAGCCTCCCCATCTCACAGGGTCATTGAAGGATTGTTGCTTATCGTACATCTACCAGGGCTTTATTCCATTTATTCTTAAACCTTCCAAGCAGTGAAGCTTCCACTACTTCTCTTTGGAGACTGTTCCCCCAGTCAGGACATTGCAGTATTAGAAAGTTTTTCCTGATAATCTGCCTAATTTTTCCCTTTCTTAATGTCGACTCCTTTCTCCTAGTTCAGCCCCCTTGTACTATCCTAAGAGGTTCCTCTCTCGCCTTGGTGTCTACACCCTTCACATGTTTGTATACTGTTATGTCTCTCCCTTAATTATCACCTCTTATATATGTTTTAATCTTTTAAAATCTCTGTTAATCTTTTCTCATAAGTCAGTCCTTTCACCACCCTACTTGTTTTGTTGCTTTTCTCTGGGTTCTTTCTAGTTTCTTAAACTCTGTCTAATAATGTGTGTACCCAGAATGCAACACAATGTGCATAGGAAGAAAACTAATTTCAGAGCTGCCTAGTACAACTGAAAATAATTTTACTCATTTGTATATGCAATTTTGTGCAACTCTGTTTTGCATACTCAGGCTATCATGGAGGTGTTCAAAAACTTCAGAAATGGTTTTTTATGCTTGCCAGTTGCACAGTGATCTGCCCCTGGGTTCATTAATATAATTTCACCTCCAAGTGTAATTTACACTATGAAAATATCTTCTAACAGCTTTTTTCTTCTTAATTACTTTTGTAAACAAGAACATAATTAGTAGTGGATGAAGGCTTATTTTAGTGATGCTCAGGCCAAACTCTTTAACTCAAAATATGAGCAGTATTTTTCTCCTAATCTCCTTTAATTCCCCACAGATCTCTGTTACACAATATTTTAGGTATAACAAAGTGTAAGAGTTAAAATGTTTGCCCTTCACTGAAAACGTTTCATTTCAGCTGAAACGTGGCAGACAGGTTTTCAGTCTGGGCCTGGTTTGCTCCAGCCTGTTCCTTTTGTTTGTTTGTTTTTTGTTTTGAAGAGAGCAAATTAAAACAAATTGTTTTCACTTTTTTTGATAACAGTTGCTCACTTTACAAAATGTGCTCTGGTAGTTGCTGAGCCTTAACCTGCCCTGAGAATACATGAGATTTCCCCAAAAAATATTCGTTGTGCATGAGCAAGGTTCAGCACCACTGAACTTTGCATGGAAAATGAGAGCTTCCCATGGTTTATGGTCGGACCATGTTGGCTCCTGGGTAAATCTAATCCGAATGAAAGCACAACAATGTATCAGAATTTTTTGTATTTCCTTTGGGCAAAATTCTGCCCTGAAGCATGCTGGATTGGTTCTGCATGGGTCCGGTTTGTAACTGATATCCCCAAGAGCAATTCTAGCTGAGACAGAATTCCCAGGATAAATATGCCAGAGCAATGCTCTGTGGCCTTTTGAGATGGTGTAATGTGCTATATGTGTGGTCTGCTCTATTGGCTGATGCATGGGTGAGATGGTGGACCATTTCCCTGTACTTACCTCACCCTTTCTTGCCCCCTTTCTGGCATTAACTTCCACAGGGAAGCTGTGTGAGAAAAGGGACTACAGTCCCCAGTGAAATTCTGTCCAGCACTGCTCAAGGGCACAAGAAGGGGGAAGCATTTTCCCCACCCCGAATTGCTCACCCTCATGAGTGCTATCCTGAATCTGACCCTTCGAGACAGGTTTGGAAATAATATCTGCACCATGCGCATGGTCTGCCAGATGGCAAAACGCACACTTATGGTGCTATGGATTTGGGGTTTGTTGACTGAATATTTGACCCAGTTTAACTTCGCTATAATCTTGTCAATTTTCCTACAATGCTATGCTACATTATGTGTCTATTTTAGGTGGAGAAGAGGCGGTTTAACCTACCAAAGACCCTCTCTGCTCCTCCGGTTGTAGGTACCATTTGTCATTCTTATGACAGAGAAGTACATCTGCACTCTGACCTTGCCCCTGGTTATTACCTTATTGTCCCTAGCACCTTTCTGAAGGATGCAGAAAGCGACTTTCTGCTTCGTGTATTCTCAACGGGGAGAATCTGCCTCAGGTAGGTTCGCAAAGGAAGAGAAGTAGCAAATCCCACAAAAACCCTGTTGACAGTTTATGTAAAGCATTATACCCCTTACGAGGGCTTGCTGTGACCTGAACTATGGTTAGGAAAGGTACATGTAAAGAAGGTGCTAAATCTTTTGAGTTCAGGTAATTAGTGTGGCTCTATAACGTGCACGTCTCCCAGCTCTTTGAATGGGGTCACGGAGATGTTTGAAATCCTTCCTATAGTATAGGGGTGGGGAACCTCCAGGCTGCTGCTTCATTTCGTCCGGCCTGCAGCAAGTCTCCGCGCTATGGGCCGAAAGCCCCGAGCCTCAGCGGCCCCCCTGCAACTGGGCTGGAGCTGCGAGCGCCGGATCGCCAGCATGTCCTTGTGGCCCCTAGGTGGAGGGGCGATCAGGGAAGCTCTGCATGCTGCCCCCACTCCCACTGTCGGCTCCGCAGCTCCCATTGGCCAGGAGCTGCAGGGTCAGTGCCTGTGAGCGCTGGCCGCGTGCACCGCACTGAGCTGCCTGGTCCCTCCGCCTAGGGGCTGGACATGCCAGCCACTTCTGGGAGCAGTGCGGAGCCAGGGTAGGCAGGGAGCCTGCCTTAGCCCCGCTGCGCCGCCAACCAGGAGCTGCCTGTGGTAAGCGCTGCCCGGCTGGAGCCCACACCCTGAATCCCCTCACGCATCCCAACTTCCTCCCGGAGCCCATACCCTAAACCCCTGCCACAGTCCTGAGCCCACTCTCGCACTTCAAATCCCTTGGCACCAGCCTGGCACCCCCTCCTGCACCCCAAACCCTTCATCCCCAGCCCCACCCCAGAGCCCGCACCCCCTTCCGCACCCCACCCCCCTGTCCCAGCCTGGAGTCCCCTCCCGCACCCGGAACCCCTCATTTCTGGCCCTGTCCCTGTCCCGTGCCCCCTTGCCTCCCCCCGCTCTTGCGGGGCTGGAGCCGCGAGCACTTGCTCAAGCCTCTGATCCCATCCCAGCGCTGTGTGTGGCCCCTGAGTGATTTTTTCTGTGGGTCAATGGCCCCTGATAGAAAAAAGATTCCCCACCCCTACTATAGTACCTCAAGGGACCTGGGGGTGGCCATCTAAATCCCTTTTTGACCCAAGAGAGGCCCAGTGTCTGGAAGAAGTGCACACTTTTCAGAGGTGAACTGGTGTAGTTCTTTGCAGTGTGTACGTTGTGGAGAATATACTTCATCCACGGTCTGGTTTGTTTTTATACAAGAATCTTACTGCTGCACAATTACTGCAGGCATCAGTACATCTTGGATGTTGCACAGTTCTGTGATGTGCTCACTTCATCCAGGGTAGATGTCTTCTGGAGCTCTGTGGGTAGTGGGGAAGGACTCTGAGACAGATTCATAGATTCTAGGACTGGAAGGGACCTCGAGAGGTCATCGAGTCCAGTCCCCTGCCCGCATGGCAGGACCAAATACTGTCTAAGAGCTACATTGTTTTCATATTTCCTTCTTTCTTTTTCCCCCTTGCCCTATTTAGTGGGGGGAACCCTAGGGAAATTAAATGCAAAAATGTAAGTTCATGGAACGTTAAGGTTAAGAAACTAAATGCATCAATGTTAGGAAATTCAAAAGATAAATTTAATCAATAAACTAATGCAGCATGTTGTATTTTCTATTGCTATTTCTTAAATACATATTTTAATGTGCTTATACTTTAAATTTATATTGTGCAATGTGGCCAGATTAAAGGTGCTGTAGAGATCTTAATTTTTACTTTATGGTATTTATTTTTCTCTGTTCCACAAATGTTCAGGTTTTGCATTTAATTATATTTATACATGGCAATGATTGGCATTGAATTGACAGTTAATGGGAATGCTTGACTGGCAAGAGTTTGCATTTCTTGACACACATTTCATTACTAGTATTTGTCCATATTTTGACAGCTGAGCACTAAGGATGGTGAATTGCAGTCATGGAAATCTTTTACCTTTTGTACACTACTTTCCCTTTCTGTCTTACATCTGATAGTGAGATAAAACCGCCACCCACTGATGCTACCCTCTGTGAAGAGCTCCCACCAGGTGAATGGGAGACTGTGCAGCTACAGGGATGCTGGAAAAATGGCCAAAGTGCTGGAGGTAGCAGGAACTTCCACTCCTTCCATACCAATCCCTGCTTTCCCCTCTCCGTCCCTGCAGGAACAGAAGAGCGCAGCATGAAAGTCACCCTTCGCCAGCACTGTCAAGATAGCAAGTGTCGTCCAATAGGGTTTCATATCTTCCAGGTATGATTTACCCCAGTCAATCTGATTGATTGTTTCATTTACAAGAATCAACTAAATCCATCACTTATTCAGGTGCCTCTTACCTTGGAGAATGGAAATGCAGCCAATAAAGGGTTACATTTGGGCCAATACAAGTAGACATTTGAGCTGTATTAGTTCACAGGTACAGTAGAGTGTATGGTATTACAATGCATGATTGGATAGCATAGCAAACGAATTTCTGGTTTCACTGAACCCTTGTCATATTCTGGTTTAGAAGTCATGCAGCAGCCATTTTCTGAACATTTGAAGGGTTTTATTTAACACTAAGACTATAGCTAGTTAACTCTATATTAAATTATACACTTCTTTAAAATGAGTGGATTTTTTTTCATTTTTGCACAGATGCAAACGGTTCGGAATGTTTGGTGACTAAGACCCAATCTTGGTAATCGGGCATGAATCTCTCCTGCCCCTCTCCCCCAACAAATATTTTTTTTTCCTGTCAACTGATAAGAGATCCTGAGCAAACAGTGATCATTATATGAAATAGGATGTGTATTTGGAGGGGTGGATTATTTATGGAACACACTGGTTTGTTTTAAAGGTGTGAGATCTGAAATTATTTTAATGTCTTCAGGTGCCTAATAGCAGTTGGAAACCACATACTTGTTCTTTTCTGCACTTGGAGCCACTGGTTAGCTGTGTACCTCACTGCTACTCACAGGAAGTGAGCCAACTGTGCCGACTCTCTGCAGGGAATTATGTAATTGTACCTTCCACGTACTTGCCTAATACCGAAGGCAATTTCACAGTGGTCATAACAACCAAAATAGACAGGTAAAAATATATAGGTATGTGTTTGGGTTTACACTGTTTCTAAATTCACATGTAACAGAGCATAGGACAACACTACACAATCATTTATAATAGTAATGTTTTCATATTTATTATAATGTCTTTGTACCACTACCACAGAGTGACTGGGATGACTGGCCCTTTAAGGGAACAAGGGCTGGCTCCATCTGTGCCATAATTACCAGCCCCCCATCTGAGGGGGTGATACTAATGGGATCAGGTGTTAACCTGATGAACACTTGGGCCTCAGAAAGAGGAACTAGAGGAAGTAGGTTAGGCCTGTGGGAGGCTCTGATCTAAGGTCTGCAGGAAGTAGGGAGGTTAGATCTTGAGAGAGACAGGTAGAGTTTCCTGGGAGATGAGACAGTAGGAAACTACTAATGCTTTGCACTGAAGTAATTTTCTCTTTTCTTTTCAAATAGGAAACGCATTCAGAGCCAGGAGACCCTTGGACAAATATTGCAAGAAGTAGGTGGCATTTGAATTTCAGTGGCACTGAGATTGAGGTACACTGGAAGTCAGAGAGGCAAACAGATACACATTAGCTAATCATTTGCACCAGGGACTGGGAGACCGGAATTTGAAAGTTCTAATTCCACTCCATTGCTAACTGTTTGTTCTTGGGCACATCAGTAAACCTCTCTTTTCGTTTTCCCAGTCTGCAAAGTAGCAATTATACTATAACTGTCTTCTCTCATACTGTCTTCTCTCATGCTGCCTCATACACATGGAATCCCCTCTCTGAAATGATCTATAAAGCCATACTGACTCCTTCAAATCCATCCTCAATACCCACCTCTGCTGTAAAGCCTGTGAGAAGCTGGTGAACTAATAGCTGTGATGGGCTTATGGCGATAATTGACACTTATATTTGCATTTTAAAAGTTATTAATATTAATAAAGTATGTACGTGTGTATATGTGTGTATATATACATATATTTAACTGTATTCTTCTCCCTTTCTGTCACCATCATCACTCTTATCATTTTATTTATATATTCAGTCCTTTTCCTCACTCAATGGGCTCTGACCTGTACTGGGGACTTTAGGCACTACTGCAATATTTAGAAATTAATACTACTCATACAGGAAAAAAGAGGAGGGAAAACCTGGAGATGATTGCCCTGCACGCCTTAGTAGGTCTACATTTGTGTTTGCTTGCACACAACAATATGCTATAATGATAATTCACATTGGGCTATGAGCTGTTTTGGTCAAGTAAATGCAACATGTTTAACATTTCACTGATTTTTTTTTTCCCATTACACATGTGCACAATGTTGTTGCAGGATTGGGCATGAGTTCTGAGTTCCTGGCACTTAAGATATTTTTATTTTAGGGGGGAAAAGATCCAAAAATATTATTTTTTGCAACTGTGTTAAAATAAAATCTGACTTGCATTTTAAATCAGAGAGTGTTCTTGATAACACTGTTTACTTATTAGGCAAGACAAATATCAACCCGATAAAACCTCCAAGAGGGAAAGAGGCCAATTATACACAGAACAAAAAGCAAACAAAAAAACACCCACACCAGGTATCAGTTGGCTTACTAATTTTCTTGCTCTAGGTTGTGGTGACCAGTGATTATACTTTGTCCTCAAAACCACACAAAAAACTGGACTTTTATTTCCCAGAAATTAGAGATGGAAACGTATATGTACATTTCTAATGGTGGCCATTGCTTTGGAATCTAGAAGCTGTAACACCTAAGTAATAATAGCATTATTTCCATTTCTTGTTCATTATTCATTTCTTCCTTAGATGTGGTTCTTGCCTGTTTCTAGGGCAAACGTTGATAGGCCCATCCCTCAGTAACAACAGCCTATCTAGAGAGATGATTCTTACATTATTCCCTAAGGGTGGTAAGACTTGGGTCTACCCTGCTGTCCAGTGGTAGGGTAAAGTGACAGTAGCACTCCCCTGAGAATACCCTGCTTCAAACTTCCTGAGAATTTCAGTTTGGAGATGACAGGCACAATCTCCTCATTGATTGCAGCTAAGATACAGAAAGAGATGATCTCTGAGTCTAAGAAGTCCTAGCTGGGGGGAGGGATAGCTCAGTGGTTTGAGCATTGGCCTGCTAAACCCAGGGTTGTGAGTTCAATCCTTGAGGGGGCCACTTAGGGATCTGGGGCAAAATCAGTATTTGGTCCTGCTAGTGAAGGCAGGGGGCTGGACTCGATGACCTTTCAAGGTCCCTTCCAGTTCTAGGAGATAGGATATCTCCATTAATTTATTAATTTATTTATTTATAAAGACTAGAACCTCGAAGCAGTTCAGGTTTTTGAAGGGGAACCAGTGGAGAGCATAGACCACTTTGGTGATGTGGTTTTGTTAGTCTGCCTTACCTAAAAGTGGGCTGCTGTGTATTTAAACAATTATGTGCCTTTCCTGGTCTATGCCAGGTGGAGTACACTGCAGTAGTTTAGCCTAAAGGAGATGGAAACATGGCTTACTGTGCTGGGTCTACATCTGAAAGAAAAAGGTGCAGTCTCCCTGTTAATCAAATATTAAAGCACTTTTGGTTACAGCTGTGTTTGGTTGAGTAGGAATGGTGACGAGTCCACTTAGGACTATGAGACTACCCAGTGCCTTCCTGTTTCCTACCAGCCTCACCACTTGCTTTTCATTCAGGTAGTTTTGTGTGTCTCAGGCACTGGGACAACTGGACAATGGCACTGAGAGAGAGATGTAGAGCTGGTGCCAGTGGTATACTGTATTGTATATTCCTAGGGTTCTGTTCAGTCTAGTTCCAAAGTACTGAAGTTATGGGATTTGCATCACTTCCTTGAGACTATTTAAGTGTATTAATTAACAGGAAGAGAATGTGTAATGATACATGGCCTTAATTCCTGAATTTTCCTTTTCTCTGTCTAGCTAAGGCATATCTGCCAATCTTTTCCCCCCTGAGACTCTTAACATGTTACAAACTATGGGTTTTAACCTATGAAATAGCTTCAATTCAGCCTCTTTTTTGCAGGTCTCCTTTACAGCTGTGATGAAAAGGTAATTTGGAATTCTCACATCAACATCATAACAGTAGAGAGACTAGAAAAGCCTGACCTTTGGCTATTTTCAATTTGAAATGAAGTAACCAGAAAATACCCTGAGCCCGGTGGTTTTCCATTCAGACTGACTTCCAGCCTGGTGACGTCCTCTCTGAAAAGATACCTCCTTGACCACATGCATCCTGATGAGCATTCGTCCCCTCCATATGTTTTACTACCAGCGACATACAACTGGACTTAATGCTATACCTCAGTTCTTCAAAAATATGGACAAAGGATATGTGCACATGTTTTAACTCAAGCTGCAGTTTTAAAATTAAAGCAGGAAAAAAATGTGATCTGTGTACATAATGAAAGAACATTTGGTGAAGAATATCCAAGTTTACAAAACAACCTCAGGAGACCAGGGGAGGATAGGAGGAGTGGAGGGGAAAGAAACTGGAGTTCCTTTTTCAGGAAGGAAAGACTAGGATCCAACAAAGTACACTGGAACAGGGATAGACCAGATCTATATCTATCACTGCCAGTCTTATTTCTGAGCACTTTATCATGGCCCTGCTACTATGAATGTTTGTCATGAAACTGTAAGTTTGGAAAGGATGAGTTTAGATGAGTTTGTCTTACACCATGTGAACACCTGGAAAGAAGGAAGAAATGACTTTTGCAAAGCTGTTGGTTTGAAACGCCATATAAGACAGTATTTTTGTTACTAGTAACCAGAATGTTGTTTTCTTAATTCCTGTTAAAATATTTCTTACTCAAGTGTGGGTTTTTTTAGATATTGTATTTTCTTTAATAAATATACGGTGATGTTAAAGAGTTTAAAAGGTCTTCTGTTAATATCATTGATCGTTTCAATCTCTTTGTGTTGCTTTAAGCTTTATTTGTTGTGTTGTGGCAAGCTTTGCAATCTTTTGGAGGCCCCAGGTTTCCGCTAAGTGGGAGCTGAAAAGCAGAGCTAGAGGGTCCAATTCTCCTCTGACGTTGACTTTTTTACACGTTTTCCTATTGAACTTCAGAAACCGGAAAAACTAGGCTGCATGCAGCCGAGTTGGAAGCAGAACCTTTTCAGAAGTGGAATCAATAGAGGACTATATATTTTTGTGGAGATTAGTGGGATGGTGACACAATAAAAGATAGTACCAAGTGCACCAAACCCTTAATTTTCATAGAATGGTGCTATATCTAGGGGTGGCCCTAAGAAATGATGGTAATTTGATCTAATTTCTTCAGTTCTCAACAGTCCAGTGCCGTTACTTAAAGTAACCAGTAGTAGAATGTTGTTCCACTAACTTCTCAAAAGAAGATGGAGTTGTAAGAGGAGATGAGGGATTCTTAAGAAAAAAATAGTTGGTTCCTAAAGATGCCATGATTGATATAATAAAACAGATGCATAAGCAACTTGTAAAGAGACAGTAAACATTTAATGAGGAAACCAGGAGAAGGCGGTGTACAAAAAAGTATCCATTACACTCTAGTGACATGTCACATTGCCAAATCCAAAGAGATGTTCAAAAGAACGGTGATTGTGAGAGGCCCTAATACTGCAGTCGTGCGTATACTTAACTTTACTACTCGAATAGTCCTCCCAAAGAGAGTAAAAGGAAAGGGGACCCAAAGTACATTGGTAGCCTTTGGGTAAAAACATGTTAAGTGGACTTTGAAAGAGAGAAGAGAGGTTTTGTGAACACAGACGAGTGAATGGTACACACTGAAGTTCAGTTAAAATAACGCATCTTTATTGTATCTGGACAATTGTGCAGCAGTGGTGGGACTGAATCACCAATTCATATAATGCCATTTCATTTTCTGCTGTTTTTGACTCATTTGTAATACAGTCTAACATCTTATTAGCACATTGAGCAGGCATCTGTAGTGAGTGCTGCATGATAATGCACAGATCTTTTCTAAAGTACTACAGCTAGTTCATTAGTATCTCTACTGGGTAGAAATAGTTTAGATAATTCTTTCCAATAGGTGTTACCTTGCACTTGGGTACACTGAAGATCTCTTGATTTTTGGAAAATGCATTTATTTTTTAAAAGTTAAAATTTAATAAGTTCCTAAATTAAAATATCTCCATCCACTGTCACAATACTGAATTATCAAATAAGACTAATAAGATAAAGTACAAGATGGATATTAAAAATCCCTGACAGAATCGCCTCCACTTTATGGTTCATTTCAGACTAGCGTGGAACCACTTGAAGCTTATATGGATGTGGATGCAATATAGCCCCTAAAATATAGTCCAGATTGACTTCCTTCACTCCCTCTGGAAGCTGGAACGTGAACGCCCGCAGCAGGTTGACAAAGAAGATGAAGAGCTCAGTTCTTGCCATCTGTTCCCCCAAACACACCCGATGCCCTACAGAAGGAACAAGAGAAGGGAATTACTCCTACAAGTGATTGCACAGAGTGAGTCAGAGAAAAGTGAATTTCCAAACAAAATTCTACTGAATCTCTTGGACTCTAAGGTGAGAAGTTGCCTCAGGGGGACATAATCTATGTATTTTTCTTTAGCTGAGAGATGCTAGATATATATCTGGCCCTGGGTATGTCTATGCTTCGAGCCGGGGATGTAATTCACAGGCAGGTCGCAGAGACATGCCCATGCTAACTCACTAAAAATAAAGCATGGCTGCCCCGGTGGGACCAGCAAGAAGGGCTAGCTGCCCCATGTATGTAGCTAGCATCTCAGATGCTTGCATACTCGCAGCAGCTAGCTCCACCCATCACTTGTGCTGCCTCATCTACCCTCTATTTGTAGTGTGCTAGCTGGCTCAGAGCTAGTGCTGATATGTTGGCCTAAGATGGAAATTGCATCCCCAGCTCTAAGTATAGGCATAGCCTCTGTCACTATGGTATATTTACAGTGATGAAGTTGCACCCTCTATCTCTTGCCCTTCCTGTCCCCTGTTCTGTGCCAATTACAAAACACTTCATTATGTGAAATATACAGTGAGATATACAGACCAGACAGATTTAGATGCCAATGACATACCTGCTGAGAAAGGTAAGAATGCTTCATTGTTTACAAAGTTGCCATCTGAATCGAGAAAGTGACTCGGGTTAAACTTCCATGGGGTCTCCCAGTGTTCAGAATCGTATACAGCAGAGTGTAAGTTTGGCAATATAATTGTGCCCTGTAAAAAAAAAAAAAAAAAAAAAGCAAAACTTAATTGTCTTCTATTTGTGAATTAGTCTTTGTTAGCTAAGCAGAGAAAACAGGAGCAGGTTCTCGGCGTGTGTAAATCAGTGTGGCTTCATTGACATCAACAGGGCTATACCCTTTTACAGCAGTTGTGTGGTTCAGAGACTGTCTAGCCTCATGTCTCTGTTTATCAGCTTGGTTCACCAGGGTCACATCTGATAGTACTGTACTCAAATGTTCTCTTGCAAATTGATAAGATCTTGTGACCTCCCTTCTTCCTGCCCTCTCTTTCCTTTTATCACACTCTCTCCTTTTCCTCTGTTACTGACACAGAGGTTTCTAATCTGCCCTCCTTTAATCCGTCTAGCTGCCCCAGCAGCCCGATCCCACCCTACCTCCATATCTCTTCACCCCATTCACCCTCTTCCTTGCTCTCTCTTAACCACTCCTCTCAATAAATGCATGATTTTCTCTTCCCTATCATGAAAAAAATCTAACCTTGACCCCACTTACCTCTCCTATTACAGTCTCCCTGTCCCTCTCCCCTCCACCCTTATAGAATATGCCTTCTGTAACCACTGCTTTGAGTTCCTCTCCATCCAGTTCTACATCTGAGGCAGCTTTTCAGACATTTCTTCATGGATGTCCAGCTGGAACCTTCAATTCAACTGAGTTTTGGCCTTCTCCCTTCTCCATTTACTCCATTGCTGTGGATAACACCACCACCCTCCTAGTAACTGCAAAACCATAATTTGGATGTTATCAACTTGGCCTTCTCTCCAAACCCACAAATCTAGACTGCAACCAAGTCTTGCTGCTGCCACCAATATAATATTTCAAAGATTTGGCCTTGTCTGTGTCCAGACTGTCCTCTAATCTCATCATTTTATGCCATGAGCCCTATAATCTCTTCCTCTCTGGCTTTGATGCCAGCTACATTGTCCCTCTTAAGTGTATTAAAAATTCTGCTACTAGGATTGTCACTCTAACCACATCAACCGTCTCTTTCCATTTCTTTGCTGGGTCTGTCTACCCTACCACATCAGACACTAGCTCCTTGTCTTTGCTTTTCTGGCCCTTCACCAGTTAGGGTGGGGCTATCTGTAAGATCTACTGGCATATTGAACTGTTGGCTTCTGCCTTCGCTTTGCCAGTGATGGCAGCTCTAATCATCAGCTCCCTCAAACGCCTCTATGCTTTCTCCCACGATCCTCTCGTGTGTGTGGGGAAAAAAGCTCAATCAAATTCCAGAGGAATTATTTCAGGTCAGTACTAATGTGGACATGAGAACGAATGGATATAAACTGGCCGTGGGGAAGTTTAGGCTTGAAATTAGACGAAGGTTTCTAACCGTCAGAGGGGTGAAATTTTGGAACAGCCTTCCGAGGGAAACGGTGGGGGCGAAAGACCTCTCTGGCTTCAAGATTAGGCTAGATAAGTTTATGGAGGGAATGGTTTAATGGGATAACGTGATTTTAGTCAATTAGGTAATAAAGTGCCATCGCTGGTAAAATGTGGGTCTGGCTAGAGAATCTTGCCTGTATGCTCGGGGTTCTACTGATCGCCATATTTGGGGTCGGGAAGGAATTTTCCTCCAGGGTAGATTGGCAGAGGCCCTGGAGGTTTTTCACCTTCCTCCGCAGCATTGGGCAGGGGTCGCAAGCTGGAGGATTCTCTGCGACTTGAAGTCTTTAAATCACGATCTGGAGACTTCAACAGCTGAGTTAAGGGAAAGCGGGTGGGTCAGCTTTTGTGGCCTGCATCATGCGGGAGGTCAGACTAGATGACCATAATGGTCCCTTCTGACCTTTAAGTCTATGAGTCTAAAGCACACCACTGTATCTTTCCCCCCACCCTTAAAATCTACTCTATGCCATGATGCCGACAGGCCCAGACTACTGCAAATCTATGTTCATTTTTCTACTCCCAACCTACTTCCACCCTATTTGCCTGTTCTGTCCACCTGTTGTGTCCTGTGTCATGTATAGACTGAAAATGTTCTGGGGCAGGGACTGTTGGCTTCGCTATTTTTCTGAAGTTCTTACCACAGTGGGGCCCCAATCCTTGATTAGGATTGCTAGGCATGAGTGTAACATGAATACTTAGGGCTGGTCTACGCTACACAATTAGGTGGATGTAAGGCTACATCTTCACTACAGGGGGGGTCGATTTAAGATACGCAAATTCAGCTACGCGAATAGCGTAGCTGAATTCGACGTATCGCAGCCGACTTACCCCGCTGTAGGGACGGTGGCAAAATCGACCTCTGCGGCTTCCCGTTGACGGCGCTTACTCCCACCTTCGCTGGTGGAGTAAGAGCGTCGATTCGGGGATCGATTGTCGCATCCCGATGGGACACGATAAATCGATCCCCGAGAGGTCGATTTCTACCCGCCGATTCAGGCGGGTAGTGTAGACCTAGCCTAAGGCACTTTACATTGACCTAATTATGTCAGTTACACACCACAGCTTTGTCTCACTGATGTAAGTGCCCTACTACACTGACATAATAACTCCACCTCCACGAGAGGCATAGGGCTTATGTTGGTGTAGTTAGGACGACACAGTGTCTGTGTAGCCACAGTGTCTGTTGGCTGTCTTGTTAATTTTACAGCTCCATGCTGGAGCAGTGAAATTGACAAGAAATCTGGACAGCTAGAGCCCGGTTGCCCCCCGCTCCCGCTGGGCTGCTGCCCGGAGGCTTCCTGCTCAGGGAGCCCAGGCAGCTGCCCTCTGCTCCCAGCTGTGCGGGGAGGCAAGAAGCCTGGGTGGCTGGCCTCCACAACCAGCGGGAAGCCGAGAGCCCGGGGTCGGGGGCAGCTGGGCTCCCAGTGAGGAGCCGCAGGGAGCTGAGAGCCCTGGCTCTCAGCCCCCTTCAGTCAATGGAAGTGCTTCTAGTGAGGACGCACGCCACCAAAAGAAGGAGGGTAATGTGGACATCAGCCACCGCAGTAATTACGGCTGTAAATCTGTAGTGTAGACTGTAGGCTGTAAAAGTGGCTGTAAGTTGACCTAACATAGGTTGACGTACGTCTGTAGTGTAGACGTGCCCTTAGTAATAATGATGCAAAAGAAGCAGGGGTTAGTAACATGGAGAATACCATTGTACCTTTTCAATGGGAAACCCCAGCACTGTTGTATCCTTCACGCACTGGCGAGGGGCCCCGACAGCAGTAATGTTGCTGTAGCGCAAGATCTCATGAATCACAGCATTTGTGTAAGGCAGTTTCTTCCGGTCCTCATAGTAGATTAGTTGGGAAGGTTCCAGGACAGTCTCTAGTTCCTTCTGGACTTTCTCTGCAAAGAAATACTTGGTTTTATTTATAACAGATGAATATTTTTCATCCCTTTTTCTGATTTTCTTTTCAATATGCCCATGTCTTTACAAAGCTGTGTTAACTTGCTATGTGTCCCTTGACTGGACGTATACAATCCAGGGTTTTATAAAATATGATGCCATGAGATGCTTTGGAGTGTGGTTTGATCCCTGCATTGGTTTGAAGTTGATCCTTAGAGAGAGGGAGCGTGTCCCCAGAGCTCAAGTTAATTTCTCAAATGGTACTTCTCTTTCATATTAATCTTTTATAGAAGTGCCTGCGTATTCCCATCTAGATGAAATGAGGGACATTGACATATTCCCATTATATTCACCATATCTTTTGACAGGAAAGTTATAAATACATGTCAGATTAGGTAAATTTTTAGGTTCTGTTCACTGTTTCTACTTTGGCAATGAGAAAGTATTAGTAAGAGAAAATATACTTGTTTGACTTGTGAAATTGCCCCTTTAGCCTGCTATCTCCCTTTGCTATTGTCTTAGTATGAAGGGGGAGACCATAGCCTATATAAGCACCTGCTGGTGCTGCATTTCAGGCAGCTGGTGGGGTGACAGCACATTTCTATTTCTTTTCATGATATTTCATAGATTAAATTCTCCTTTCTGAGCTGTTGTTAGATATTAACAGCTGAGCACTGATGTTTATTGCTGGCAGGTCACTTTATTTTACAGCACACTGTTAATCTGAGCTAATATTTGTTTAGTAACCATGTGCAAACTTTAACTGGGGAGGGATAGCTCAGTGGTTTGAGCATTGGCCTGCTAAACCCAGGGTTCTGAGTTCAATCCTTGAGGGGGCCATTTAGGGATCGGGGGCAAAAATCTGTCTGGGGATTGGTCCTGCTTTGAGCAGGGGGTTGGACTAGATGACTTCCTGAGGTCCCTTCCAACCCTGATATTCTATGTGTGTCCCTTTGATGCGCATTCACCCACCTTGGATATCTGGGTATTGCAGCATATAGAGGAGTGCCCAGCACAGGGTGATAGTTGTGGATTCTGTCCCTCCCAGCAAAAGATCAACCACAGTCTGAACCATGTTATCTTCATTAAAGGTGGACGTGGGGTCATCTTTGGTCTGAAGATGACAGTCACAAGATTTGAAAGCAGAAGGTTCTACAGCAGTACTGTTGACTATGTAGTAGTTAACATATTTTTCACAGGTTGGCTGGCCCTTCTAAAGAGACGTAGGTCTTAGCCCATCTGTGACACAGCTAATTTGCTTCCCCTGGTGGAGAGACTGAATCAAGCCATGTGACAGGCAGGTGTGTGACTAAATCGAATCTCTGTGGGGGTAGAAAAACAGAGGCTTGTGGATGGCCAAATGGATGGGGGCTACAGTGTGAAGCTTCAGGGAGAGTATTTCTCTCCTGTAGTGGTTCCAGGGGAAGGGTTTTGGGGCTAGGTAGAAAGAACCTTCTGGAAGTTCTTGTTTTCCTTTAGGGGAGAGACCAAGAAGGGGGCCAGGCCTTGTGTCTTCTCCAGTGGCTTAGAGAACAGAGGAAGAGACAATACCACAGCGAAAAGGGGCTCTGCCCAGCTTAAGGCTGAGTGGAAAAGCTCTTGTGTTTGTTTTGGAACTTTATGTTGTTAAAATCAGCCCAAAGAAGTGCTGTTATTGGACTTGTGGAAGCCTTGAGTTTATTGAGGAACCAAGAGAGGAAACTGAGGCTGGGTACTGCAGCACCACCCCTAGCCAAAAGGGGGCACGTGGGAGGCAGCCAACCCTGTTACAATGTTGCTTGATGAAAACTTCTCATGAAATGTCCAACAAATGGGGGGGAAAAAACAAAAACACTTCTGAAGTCCCAAATTACAGGAAGATTTGAAATATTAATCTATAATATTATTTTAGCAATCCTTCAACTAAGTCTCTTTGCAGTGGACAGTGAGGCTAAGGAGAAGCTAGTATTATACAGAGTACGGGCACTTACTTTTGCTATCTGAGCCAGGTAGAAGTCAATGAGATCCTGTGGATCATCTTCTTTCCATCTCTCCTCATGACCTCGGCCCTCGTTCTTAACTAAATTGTGCATAAAATCATTGTATGCAAACACTTTCTGGTGAGGTCCTGGGAGATGATGCATAAGCCATGGGAAAGCATCATACATCTATGGGTAAAACATAGGGGAGATGATGTGAGTTCTTTGATATAAGCAAGTGAACCTGAGGGAGTTTAAAGTGTCATGAAAACTGAAATAAAAGCGTGAAGGGACTGGAGGGTTTACATTTCTAGTAGGAATATGAAACCTTTAACCTCTGCTTTAAGTGGTCAGTTCTGATCTGGACTAAACTAATGTTCTGTTGTATATACATTTTTATACTGTGCTTATTCATGGTAGTATCTGAGTGCTCTCCAGTGCTCATTAAACAACGTGTCTGCACACCTATCATGTAGTTTGTTCTCTCATTCTCTCCCCAGAGGGAGAAACGTGTACATTGGAGTGTCTTGTTTCAGAAGGGTGTTTTTTTTAATATATGTAAATATACTTGTTGCTCTGTGTTTAGGTAAGAGAAGGCCAGGTTGAAGAAATGCACCTAGCATTAGGTGCGGAAAGTAGTTAGGTCTGTCATGGTCCTTAGTGCCTGGTGGAATTCAATCCACAGTCTCAGGTTGTGACGAAGTGGGACTGTTCTTAATGTTTTCTCTGAATACTGTAGGGGTGCCTCAGTTTCCCTTATGCATTTCTTAAGTCTCTAGGTGGTGGGATAAGGGGGTGTAATTGTTGCAGAGCAAAGGGCCAGTGTACATAAATGGCTGACACTCTGTCTCCTGGCAACTAATGGCCTGGGCCTTTCCCCTCTGCAAGGTGATAGCTAAAGGTGTTGGAGAACAAAGGAATCAGGTGAGCTCCTGGCCCGGGAAAGGGACAAAGCCCAGAGGAGGAGGGGCTGGAGGGTGAGGCAGTTTGGGGCTGGCTGGGGATGTGGAGTGAGGGGCAGACTTGGTTGTCTGACTCACTGCCCCCCAAAATGGACCCGGCTGAGGGGTCCTGTTCTCTGTACCTACAAGCTCTGTTTTAGACCATGTTCCTGTCATCTAATAAACCTCTGTTTTACTGGCTGGCTAAGAGCCACGACTGACTGCGAAGTGGGGGTGCAGGACCCTCTGGCTTCCCCAGGACCCCGCCTGGGTGGACTTGCTGTGGGAAGCGCACCGAGGGGCAGAGGATGCTGAATGCTCCAGGGTCAGACCCAGGAAGGTGGAAGCCGTGTGAGCTTCTTGCCCTGGAGACAATCTGCTCACAGAGAGGAGACTTCACCAGAGTCCTGACTGGCTTCATAGGGAGCAGTTCCAGAGCATCGCCTGGGGACTCCGTGACACAGGTCACCCCCAGATGTTGAGCGTTCCTTTGTGCCAGAGGGGCAGAGGCGTAGCGAGCGCCCTCCGACCGGAGGGGGCCCCGCAAGGAAGGGGGCCCCGCAAGGAAGGGGGCCCCGCAAGGAAGGGGGCCCCTAAAAGTGGCAAAATAAATACCGCATTCCAGTTTCTGCATTGTAAGGGGCCCCGCCCGGACATATGTTCGGAGGGGGCCACGTTCTTTGTTGCTACGGCCCTGCAAAGGGGCACAGTCGCTGACCACGGTCTTTGTCCTGGCGCTTTGGACGGCTTTTTAAGTTATGTCTACACTGCGATAAAACACCCTTGGCTCGTCGCTATCAGCTAATTCGGGCTCGCGGGGCTCAGACTGCGGGGCTGTAAAATTGCAGTGCAGATATTGGGGCTCGAGCTGGAGCCTGGGCTCTGGGTCCCTCCCCCATTGCAGGGTCTTAGAGCCTGGGCTTCAGACCAAACCCCTATACTGCAATATTATAGCCCCGCAGCCGGAGCCCCGCAAGCCTGACTCAGGTGACGGGCCAGCTTTGGCTGTTTTATTGCAGTGTAGACAGACCCAGTGAGACCATGAGCCCAGGCCGTGGAGCGTGTTGACCAGAAGCTGCAGAGCGGGGACATCTGCTCAGTGACTTATGTGTAATGAGCTGGTGGTAGTACTCCTCGTCTAGCCACTAGGGAGCAGGTGCAGTGCCTATACTATAAAACCATGCTGACAATTGTTACCCTGTTCAACCTTCTCACTAAAGAGACTGAGGACTCAGTGGATATCGAGGCTGAAGTAGATGTGTTCCCTCCAAAACAGAGATGAGTTGCACAGTTAGGAAGTCATTTGTGGGAAGCTTTCTTTTACATTGCTTATGCTGTGTTTTGTCTGTGGATAGAGTATTTTGGTCTCTAGGACTAAACAGAGCAACTTCTGCAGAGTTCACTTACATTTATGTTTTAACTTCTGAATCACCCCTACTTGAAGGCTTCAGGGTACCCCAAAATACTATCAGTGAATTCTAGAATGCCAGAAAGGCAACATAGCCCAATAAACAGATAAACTTCATAGATGTTTAAAATAGGGCTGTCAAACGATTAAACAAATTAATCGCGCGATTAATCACACTGTTAAACTATAATAGAATACCTTTTATTTCAATATTTTGGATGTTTTCTGCATTTTCAAATGTATCGATTTCAATTACAACACAGAATACAAAGTGTACAGTACTCACTTTATATTTATTTTTGATTACAAGTATTTGCACTGTAAAAAAACAAAAGAAATAGTATTTTTCAGTTCACCTAATACAAGTACTGTAATGCAATCTCTTTATCATGAAAGTTGAACTTGCAAATGTAGAATTATGTACAAAAAACCTGCATTTAAAATTTTATATTGTTTTATTTTTCGAGCCTGCAAGTCCACTGAGTCCTACTTCTTGTTCAGCCAATCATTCAGACAAACAAGTTTGTTTACATTTGCAGGAGATATAATGCTGCCTGCTTCTTGTTTACAATGTCACCTGAAAGTGAGAACAGACGTTCGCATGGCACTTTTGTAACCGGCATCACAAGATATTTATGTGCCAGATGCGCTAAAGATTCATGTCCCGTCATGCTTCAACCACCATTCCAGGGGACATGTGTCCATGCTCATGACGGGTTCTGCTCGATAACAATCCAAGGCAATGCGGACTGACACATATTCATTTTTATTATCTGAGCCCTGGTCTACACTACGAGTTTAGGTCGAATTTAGCAGCGTTAGATCGATTTAACCCTGCACCCGTCCACACGACAAAGCCATTTTTGTCAACTTAAAGGGCTCTTAAAATTGATTTCTGTACTCCTCCCTGACGAGGGGATTAGCACTGAAATCGACATTGCCGGATCGAATTTGGGATAGTGTGGACGCAATTCGATGGTATTAGCCTGCGGGAGCTATCCCAGAGTGCTCCATTGTGACCGCTCTGGACAGCACTCTCAACTCAGATGCACTAGACAGGAAAAGCCCCGCGAACTTTTGAATTTCATTTCCTGTTTGGCCAGCGTGGCAAGCTGATCAGCACAGGTGACTGTGCAGAGCTCATCAGCAGAGGTGATCATGGAGTCCCAGAATCGCAAAAGAGCTCCAGCATGGACCGAACGGGAGGTACTGGATCTGATCGCTGTATGGGGAGACGCATCTGTGCTATCAGAACTCCGTTTTCCAAAAGACGAAATGCCAAAATATTTGAAAAAAACTCCAAGGGCATGAAGGACAGAGGCTATAACAGGGACCCGAAGCAGTGCCGCGTGAAACTTAAGGAGCTCAGGCAAGCCTACCAAAGAGGCAAACAGCCACTCTGGGTCAGACCCGCAGACATGCCACTTCTATGATGAGCTGCATGCAATTCTAAGGGGTGCCCCCACCCCTGTTCGTGGACTCCTGCAAGGGGGGAGTCTCACGCAACAGGGATGAGGATTTTGGGGATGAGAAAGATGAGGAGGAGGGTAGCACACAGCAGGCAAGCGGAGAAACTGTTCTCCCCAACAGCCAGGAACTGTTTATCACCCTGGAGACAATACCCTCCCAACCCTCGCAAGGTGGGCTCCCGGACCTTGAAGGCGGAGAAGACACCTCTGGTGAGTGTACCTTTGTAAATATAATACATGGTTTAAAAGTAAGCATGTTTAAGGATTAATTTACCCTGAAGACTTGGGATGCATTCGCGGCCAGTACAGCTACTGGAATGCAGTCAAGCAACATCCGTTCTTTATCTCTCTGTGTTAACCTCAGGAGAGTGATCTCATTCATGGTCACCTGGTTGAAATAGGGGAATTTTATTAAGGGGACATTCAGAGGCGGCCGTTCCTGCTGGGCTGTGTGCCTGTATCTGAAAAGAAATCATCCCCACTATTAGCTATGCGGTGGGGGGAGGGGTGAAGCGATCATCCCAGATAATTGGATGTGAGGGGGGGTTTAGTTGGGTTTGTGCTGCACGTTAACCCGAAAACCGCAGCCCCTCCTTTTAAATGGCTAACCCATTTTAAATGGCGAACCCAACTGGTGCTTGGTATGGGAAATAAGGGTACTGCTGTTTGAAACCATTCCCACATGTTATGAAGGTTAGAGAAGCCAAAAGACTGTGGCTTATCATGCTGCCTGCAAGCCGAATTCTGTTGCCCGGCCCAGTGTGCGTGATCTCTCACACCAATCCGGCAGGCCCTCAATATAAGAGGCAAAATGCGACCTTGTACCGAAAGCACATGTGCTATGTAATGTTAGCAGCTTGGTTCACCATGAAAGAGTCTACCCATTGTTCTCTTTAAAAATGTGTCTTTTTAAATACTACTCTTCCTTTTTTTTCCCTCCCACAGCAGCAAATGTTTCAACGCTCCCCCTATCATCTCCGTCCCAGAGGCTAGTGCAGATAAGAAGGCGAAAAAAACGCACTCGCGATGAAATGCTCTCTGAGCTCCTGCAGTCCCTCCAGCAAAATGCGTGGAGGCAGACAATGTCAGAGTCCAGGAAAGCACAAAATGAACGCGAGGACAGGAGGGACGCGTGAGAGGAGAGGTGGCGGGAGCAAGATGATAGGTGGCGGCAGCGTGATGAGAGGAGGCAGGATGCAATGCTGAGGCTACTGGAGGATCAAACGGATATGCTCCGGCGTATGATTGAGCTGCAGGAAAGGCAGCAGGAGCACAGACCGCCGCTGCAGTCCCTGTGTAACCAACCGCCCTCCGCCCCAAGTTCCATAGCCTCCTCACCCAGATGCCCAAGAACGCGGGTGCGGGGGCTCCGGGTACCCAACCACTCCACCCCAGAGGACTGCCCAAGCAACAGAAGGCTGGCATTCAATAAGTTTTGAAGTGCAGTGTGGCCTTGTCCTTCCCTCCTCCCACACCCCACCCGGTGCTTCCCTTCTCCCCCACCCCTCCTGGGCTACCTTGGCAGTTATCCCCCTATTTGTGTGACAAATTAATAAAGAATGCATGAATTTGAAACAACAATGACTTTGCCTCTGCAAGCGGTGATTGAAGGGGGGAGGTCTCAGTTGGCTTACAGGGAAGTAGAGTGAACCAAGGGGGTGGGTTTTCATCAAGGAGAAACAAACAGAACTTTCACACCGCAGCCTGGCCAGTCATGAAACTGGTTTTCAAAGCTTCGCTGATGTGCAGCGCGTCCTGCTGTGCTCTTCTAACCACCCTTGTGTCTGGCTGCGTGTAATCAGCGGCCAGGCGATTTGCCTCAACCTCCCACCCTGCCATAAATGTCTCCCCCTTACTCTCTCAGATATTGTGGAGCACACAGCAAGCAGTAATAACAATGGGAATATTGGTTTCACTGAGGTCTAAGCGAGTCAGTAAACTGCGCCAGCGTGCTTTTAAACGTCCAAATGCACATTCTACCACCATTCTGCACTTGCTCAGCCTATAGTTGAAGAGCTTCTGACTACTGTCCAGGGTGCCAGTGTATGGCTTCATGAGCCATGGCATTAAGGGGTAGGCTGGGTCCCCAAAGATAACTATAGGCATTTCAACATCCCCAACAGTTATTTTCTGGTCTGGAAAGTAAGTCCCTTGCTGCAGCTGTTCAGACCAGAGTTCCTGAAGATGCGAGTGTCATGTACCTTTCCTGGCCATCCCACGTTGATGTTGGTGAAACATCCCTTGTGATCCACCAGTGCTTGCAGCACCATTGAAAAGTACCCCTTTCGGTTTATGTACTGGCTGCCAAGGTGGTCCGGTCCCAAGATAGGGATACGCGTTCCATCTATTGCCCCACCATAGTTAGGGAATCCCATTGCAGCAAAGCCATCCACTATGACCTGCACATTTCCCAGAGTCACTACCCCTGATAGCAGCAGCTCAGTGATTGCGTTGGCTACTTGGATCACAGCAGCCCCCACCGTAGATTTGCCCACTCCAAATTGATTCCCGACTGACCGGTAGCTGTCTGGCATTGCAAGCTTCCAGAGGGCTATCGCCACTCGCTTGTGAATTGTGAGGGCTGCTCTCATCTTGGTATTCTTGCACTTCAGGGCAGGGGAAAGCAAATCACAAAGTTCCATGAAAGTGCCCTTACGCATGCGAAAGTTTTGCAGCCACTGGGAATCATCCCAGACCTGCAACACTATGCGGTCCCACCAGTCTGTGCTTGTTTCCCAGGCCCAGAATCAGCGTTCCACGGCATGAGCCTGCCCCATTGCCACTAGGATGTCCAAATTGCCAGGGCCTATACTTTGAGAGAAGTCTGTGTCCATGTCCTCATCACTCTTGTCACCGCGCTGCCGTCGCCTCCTCATCTGCTTTTGCAGGTTCTGTTTCTGCACATACTGCAGGATAATGCGCGAGGTGTTTACAATGCTCATAACTGCCGCGGTGATCTGAGCGGGCTCCATGCTTGCCGTGATATGGCGTCTGCAGGAGAGCAGAGTGGCAGCGGAAGCGGAGGATTGAAGACCAGTTTTGCAGACCTACTGCACCGTCTGCTGCCAGGACACAACAGCGGCGGTGTCCGTGAGCTGAGCTGAGCGGGCTGCACGCTTGCCGTGGTATGGTGAGACAAGAGCAGGAGAGCAGAGTTGCAGTGGAAGCGGTGGATGACGACGGTCATATAGAGGACCTGTGAGACCACCACGAGAGCAGAATGGCAGCGGAAGCGGTCCTTCGATGACGACAGTTAGCAGTCCTACTGCACCGTCTGCTGAAAGCAGTATGGCGCCCACACGGAAAAAAGGCGTGAAACGATTGTCTGCCATTGATTTCATGGAGGGAGGGGCAACTGATGACGTACCCAAAACCACCCGCGACAATGTTTTTGCCCCATCAGGCATTGGGAGCTCAATCCAGAATTCCAATGGGCGGTGGAGACTGCGGGAACTGTGGGATGGCTATCCACAGTGCAATGCTCTGAAAGTTGACGCTAGCCTCGGTACTGTGGATACACTCCGACTTAATGCGTTTAGTGGGGACACACACAATTGGCTGTATAAAATCGCTTCCTAAAAAATTGACTTCTATAAATTCGACCTAATTTCGTAGTGTAGACATACCCTGAGTCAGATGCCACCAGCAGAAGGTTGATTTTCTTTTTTGGTGGTTCGGGTTCTGTAGTTTCTGCATCGGAATGTTGCTCTTTTAAGACTTCTGAAAGCATGCTCCACACCTCGTGCCTCTCGGATTTTGGAAGGCACTTCAGATTCTTAAATCTTGGGTCGAGTGCTGTACTGATCTTTAGAAATCTCACATTGGTACCTTCTTTGCATTTTCTGAAATCTGCAGTGAAAGTGTTCTTAAAATGAGCAACATGTGCTGGGTCATCATCCGAGACTGCTGTATCAGGAAATATATGGCAGAATGCGGGTAAAACAGAGTAGGGGCCATACCATTCTCCCCCAAAGAGTTCAGTCACAAATTTAATTAACACATTATTTTTTTAATGAGCGTCATCAGCATGGAAGCATGTCCTCTGGAATGGGGGCCGAAGCATGAAGGGGAATACAAATGTTTAGCATATCTGGCATGTAAATACCTTGTAATGTCAGCTACAAAAGTGCCATGCGAACACCTGTTCTCACTTTCTGGTGACATTGTAAATAAGAAGAGGGCAGCATTATCTCCTGTAAATGTAAACAAACTTGTTTGTCTTAGCGATTGGCTGAACAAGAGATAGGACTGAGTGGACTTGTAGGCTCTGAAGTTTTACATTGTTTTGTTTTTGAGTGCACTTATGTAACAAAAAAAATCTACATTTGTAAACTGCACTTTCATGATAAAGAGATTGCACTACAGTACTTGTATGAGGTGAATTGAAAAATACTATTTTTTATCATTTTTAGAGTGCAAATATTTGTAATAAAAAATAATATACACCTTGATTTCAATTACAACCCAGAATACAATATATATGAAAATGTAGAAAAAACATCCAAAATATTTAATAAATTTCAATTGGTATTCTATTGTTTAACAGTGTGATTAAAACTGCGATTAATCACGATTAATTTTTTTGAGTTAATCTCTTGAGTTAACTGCGATTAATCGATAGCCCTAGTTAAAAAATATGCTTTAGTCATGATGAAATTCTATGGCCTGTGTCATACAAGAGGTCAGACTAGATGATTTGATGGCCCCTTCTGGCCTTAAAAGGAGAAGAAAAAGCACCATCCATACAGAATATACATGCAGATTAGTTTAAACATAAATTCTGAGAGAGAGACTGCAGTATAGAACATACATTTAGGCTTTGTAGATCAGATCTTGAGCGAGACTGATCAGAAATCTGCTCAAAATGACAGGGCTTCTAAGTTTTGGATTTTATTAACTGTACTTTTATGTCTCGGTTTCCAAGAACAAAATCAGCATTCCAAGAGCGAGTGTTTGTTAGGTTTAGTGCTAGCATTTAGAAATCTGGTTTAAGACCCACACGTTTATGTAAACATTTCTTGGTTTTGAAACACATTAAATGATTTGGAAATCTGCCAAAAGAAGTAATGATTTGTACTAATAACTCAAGTCTTGGGCCACATGATTTACTGATGGTGTCCTATAAATAAGACATGAGATCTATGAGGTGTGTATTTATTGCTTCATAAGCAAAAATCCTGCATAATACTTTTTGAAATTATGTCTTGTGGTAGATGTCCATCTCTCTGTACTATGTAGATACAGTAACCATTCAGTAACCGCAAAAAGAACAGGAGTATTTATGACACCTTAGAAACTAACACATTTATTTGAGCATAAGATTTCGTGGGCTGCAGTCTGGATGCATGCAGTGGAAAATACAGTAGGAAGATATACACACAGAGAACATGAAACAAAGGGTGTTACCATACACACTATAACGAGAGTGATCAGTTAAGGTGAGCTATTATCAGTAAGAGAGAAAAAGAACTGTTTGTAGTGGTAATGAAAATGGCCCATTTCCAGCAATTGACAAGAAGATATGAGGAACTGGGGGGGGGGGGGGGGAAAAAAAAAATGGGGAAATAGTTTTATTTTGTGTAATGGCCCATCCACTCCCAGTCTTTGTTCAAGCCTAATTTAATGGTGTCCAATTTGCAAATTAATTCCAATTCAGCAGTCTCTCGTTGAAGTCTGTTTTTGACATTTTGTTGTTGTAATATGGCGACTTTCAGGTCTGTAATCGAGTGGCCAGGGAGACTGAAGTGTTCTCCAACTGTTTTTTGAATGTTATAATTCAGTAAACCATTAACCCCTCTGGTTTTCCTGGTGAAGCACAGATAAACTCTACTGTGATAAGAACCGGAATAACGGAATGCTCACCCTGCCCCAGATAGTGGCCTGGAAGAAGATCACAAAATAGATGGCTTTGATGAGCCGGTTGAAGGAATCATCCTCACTGGAGAAGCGATGGCCAAAAACCACAGTGCAAATCACATTTGCGACAGCATGGACAATGTGGGTATGGGGGTCGAAGGGTTTCCCTGCAAATACAGCAGGTGTTAGTTAGAATCGCTGAAAGGACTGTGGGGAGGAGTGTTAACAAGGACCATGAAGGATCTGCACAATAGTACTAACAGTTGTACAATGTAAAGGAGATTGAACTACTTTTAGATAAGTGAGACACTTTACAAAGGAGTGAATTCTATTTAATGTAAATTAAACAGAGGAACTAGAACCTGGAGAGGACTTCCTTTTTCTAAAAGAACTGAAGGTATTTGTGAAGAGATTCATGAAATTTATTTTTGTTAGTCCTTCTCCTTAACTATGGAACGATGAATATAATACGTTAATCTCCTTAACTATGGAACGATGAATATAATATGTTTGGAGGAAACAAACCTTGCATCTACGTTTCCCCGTTTGGTCTGTGGCCTGTTTTGTGTGGAATTACTGCATTTTTGCTCCCCTCTGTGCCGTGCATTGAAATAAGAGCATAGGTCCTCAAGTTTCTAGGCAGGAGTTTTAATTTTTCCTTTCTACTGCCGAAGTTTTAGTTTCTTTCAAACTTTGAAATGACCCATCACTTCAGGAGCTCAGGTGCAGTTTAAAACTTAAGTTAATTTTTTTCAGAGAGTATAAAGACAAACATGGTTCAGCTCAAGGCTTTCCTCTGGGTCAAAAGTACACTTGTAAAATGAAAAAGATTGTTACATCGTTCCTCTTGTAGAGCCTGATCCAGCTCCCATTAAAGGAGATGGAAAAACTGATTGATTACAGGTTTCCGAGTGGTAGCCGTGTCAGTCTGTATCAGCAAAAAGAACGAGGAGTCCTTGTGGCACCTTAGAGACTAACAAATTTATTTGAGCATAAGCTTTCGTGGGCTAAAACCCACTTCATCAGATGCATGCAGTGGAAGATACAGTGGGAGTTGGACTGGGGCCTTAACGGAATATTTCCAAGTATTCACATTTCTAAAGCTATCATTAAAAGGTAAGGTATGTTATTCATTTCATATACACCTGGCTTCAATCTAAATTGATATTGCATTCTACAAAACTGCATTACAATAATGTTGTTTAGGTGGCAAAGAGAAGTGCTCAAAAGTTAGCAAATGCTAAATTAAAGATTGCCTGGGCAACGTTAATTTCGCTGTCTTGTGCATCCAGACTGAATAAAGGTCCTGAGGGCTTGTGTGTGTATGTGTAAGTGTATGAATGATCAGGTAATTAAAGTATCAGAGGGGTAGCTGTGTTAGTCTGTATCTGTAAAAAGCGACAAAGAGTCCCGTGGCACCTTAAAGACTAACAGACGTAATGGAGCGTAAGCTTTCGTGGGTGAATGCCCACTTCGTCAGACGCATGTAATGGA